CCAGTGGCTCCTTCCCATCCCATCCCAAATATTTGGGAATTGGGAATGTCCCTCTTCCCAGTGTTTCCACACCTGGATCCAGGATCCAGGGATGCTCCAGGATCCATCTTCTCTTCCCAGCCCATCCCAAATATCCGGGAAGGTGGGAATGTCCCTGATCCCAGTGGCTCCTTCCCAGCTCATCCCAAACATTTGGGAATTGGGAATGTCCCTTTTCCCAGTGTTTCCACACCTGGATCCAGGGATACTCCAAGATCCATCTTCTCTTCCCAGCTCATCCCAAACATTTGGGAAGGTGGGAATGTCCCTGATCTCAATGTTTCCACACCTGGATCCAGGATCCAGGGATGCTCCAGGATCCATCTTCTCTTCCCAGCTCATCCCAAATATTTGGGAAGGTGGGAATGTCCCTGATCCCAGTGGCTCCTTCCCATCCCATCCCATCCCATCCCATCCCATCCATCCCATCCCATCCCATCCCATCCCAATCCCTCCTCTCTGCCGGGCTCCAATCCCTCGGGAACGCCGGGAATTAGAGGAAGCAGCGGCATTCCCCCTCCAGAGAAAAATCTGGGAATGTCTTTCCAGGTTTTTTTCCCTCTTCCCCTACTTCAGGATCTTCAGGAACACTGGGAAGAAACCTTGGAATTTTTTCCCAGTTATTTTTTCCCCCTTTTTCCCTACTTGAGCTTCTTCAGGATCACCAGGCGGGAACCTTGGAATATTTTTTCCCGGATTTTTCTCCCCCTTTTTCCCTACTTGAGCTTCTTCAGGATCACCGGGCGGGAACCTTGGAATTTTTTCCCATTTTTTTTCCCCCTTTTTCCCTACTTGAGGATCTTCAGGAACACCGGGCAAGAACATTGGAATATTTTTTCCCGGATTTTTTTCTCCCTTTTTCCCTACTTGAGCTTCTTGAGTGGCACCGGGCGGGAACCTTGGAATATTTTTTCCCAGATTTTTTTTTCCCCTTTTTCCCTACTTGAGGATCTTCAGGATCGCCAGGCAGGAACCTTGGAATATTTTTTCCCAGTTTTTTCCCCCCTTTTTCCCTACTTGAGGATCTTCAGGATCACCGGGCAAGAACATTGGAATATTTTTTCCCGGATTTTTTTCCCCCTTTTTCCCTACTTTAGGTTCTTGAGTGGCACCGGGTGGAAACACTGGAATATTTTTTCCCAGATTTTTTTTCCCCTTTTTCCCTACTTGAGCTTCTTCAGGATCACCGGGCGGGAACCTTGGAATATTTTTCCCGTTTTTTTTCCCCTTTTTCCCTACTTGAGCTTCTCAAGGAGCACCAGGCAGGTGGAAATGTTGGAATTTTTTCCCATTTTTCCCCCTTTTTCCCTACTTGAG